AAGAAGGACGTTTGCTGCCTTGCCTATTTTTGAGTTGCTTGAAATCTCAAAATATTTGTATTTCATGTAATAGCCTGTGTATAAGATAATTGATTCAAGCTTCTTGACATGGAGAGAAGCTTTAACTTATTACAGTCCTTTTATTTCACGTGTTTTAAAGCTCCCCTTTACATTCTGTTTCTCCTGTTTGAGGAAGGGCATTCTCTGTCTTAGGATCTAAGTTTACATTTTCTATCAAAGCTCATTTAAGTTCACCCAGCAATTTGGAGTTAAAGTGAGACATCGGGATAATTGCACAGAGCCACACAGGTTGGCTGCATTAGCAAAAACAAAGTGGCCTGGGAAGGAAAATGAAAACCCGTTTTTAAGTGCTGGAGTGAAAACAAATAGATACATCCTGTAGTATTTCTTCAACAGCAGTTTATAATTACTTCTCTTCAAGGCCTATTTTAACTGGACTTAGAACAGTAGCTTGAAAAGTAAGCTAGCAAGCTATCCAGTTCTGTAGACATGGGGGCGGAACAAGGAAGGAGTGGCCCGGTGGGAACCAGGGCCTGGCGGTCCTTCCAAGAGTATGCCCCAAGTGCCTTAGTCTTTAGGTCTCCCTCAGGTCGGCCATGGGAAGCCTTTGATGGCACAGAGGTGTTTTTTATACAGCATTGTATCATTTAGCTGTTGAATTACAAATTACCCCCAAATGTGGGGCTAAGGCATTTAGCATTCACAGTTTCTGTGGGTCAGGGATCCAGGGGTAGTTCAGCTGAGTCCTCTGGGTCTGGGTCTCCCACGAGGTGACAGTCCTTTAAAGGCTAAGCATTCACTTTCTAGTTCACTCACACCAGATTGTTAGCCAGTTCAGGTCCTTGAGCATTCTTGGCTGGAAGTTTCCCTCAGTTCCTTGCCACCGGCCCTCTGGGTTGAGACTCTCACACTACAGCACCTTGCTTCATGAGCGAGAGAGAGAGAGAGAGAGAGAGAGAGAGAGAGAGAGACAGCAGGAGAGCGAGCACTAGCAAGAAAGAAGTCCCAGTCTTTTGCAACAGAATTCCAGAAATGACATCCTGTCACACTGGCTGTATTCTACTTATTGGAATGCAAAATACTAGGTCCAGCCCACTTTGAGGGTAACTGGAGCCAGGTCAGAAGCTACCTATCAAAAGCGTGGTGCCATCATATTCCTGCCACGTCCGACTAATAAGCCTGTAGTGAATGAACTGTGACGTGAATAGTGTGTATATTTACAACGCTGAATACAGCTTATGGAAGTACTGATTTGGGGAGGCATGGAATGTGGTCCCCTTTATGTAGCAAATTGGCTGAAAAGTGCTGAGCTGAGCTTCCCTGACCCCGGGAGACCAAGGAAAGGGGTTTTCAGGAATGGCTGGAGTCAGGGTGCCTGACTGAGGTCATGGAACGGAGTGAAGATAAGCAGCCTTCATGGCTTTATTAGCATGATACCCTAAACACAGAGACCAGAGGGCCCTCAGATTATATTTCATTATGTGTTGGGAGGTTTTGATTGGTACTTTGTGGATCATTAGGGGGAAGGGACCCTGTGGTTGGATTTATAAAGTTGCTATTAAGATCACGGAATGGGAGGTTGTACTTGTGTTAATGGTCCCGTGCCCCTACTCCCAGCTTCTGGACTCCAAATGTACATTTTCAGCAGTAAACTGTATAAAGGGATATGGATTTGGATTATGAGACAAATGGTTAAGACAGGAGTTGCATTTCACATTTTAATTTGACAAATTCTGTTAGAAAATCCATGCAGGTTTATGGGAAGAGTTCAAGTCTAGGTTTTCTTCACCTGTTGCAGGTTAATACTTCTTTTTGGTTGCTGAAGCTCCAGTGTGGGAACTTAGGGAGGAAATGTTTGAATTCTTTTGTCCCAGTTCCTGTTGATTGGCTTCTGCAGGCTCTGAAGCCTCGATAAAATTCCCTCTGATAGACATGTCTGGGACATCCTCCCCCTCCCGGACCAAGCTAAGTCCATGCAGACCTCAGTTACGGCAGCGATCCCTCATGTGGCTCACATTCATGCTCCCAGCTGGAGTAAGCACAGCCCGAGGACAGGAACCGTGTGTCTGACACACCTTTGTACCCCTGGTACCTAACAGAGAAGCTGAGCATAGTAGGAATTGTAAAGCTCTTGAACAGATGGGTGAAGCGATTAGTAATTATGATCAGTTTTCAAATCTTCCCTGTTAATTTTCTAAGGAAAGTAGCATAACAAGTAATAAAATTTGTTTTAACTAAGATAGTGTGGGTCATTATAAACTGGTGTGGCTCTAGAATTATAGGGATATTACCTATACTCCTGAGACAAGCCAGGCAATTTTCAGTTTTCTACTCCCTTGTGTCCATCTGCAGCTCTTAATTGATCCTGGGAGGATTTTCTTTGTAACCTTGTGGGACTGTTATTTTTTCAATTCCTCTGTTATTTGCTGCTCCTAATGCTCGGTCCACTGCTTTTTGTTTACTTGTGACTGGTAAAGCACTTTTAAGATTACCTTAGATCTTCAAATATTACTAATTAATAATCCTAAGTGTTTTGTTCATTGTATAAAGGCATCCTACATCTGTCATCCCGGGGGCCTGGGGTTAAGAAACCTGTAACATAACGTGGAATAAAGCCAGACTCCTAACTTTTTAAAATCTTGCATAAAAACTTTTTATGCTTTGTGGTTTGATTTTTGTTTCTCGGTATGGTAAATGAGGAGCCCAGGTTATACTGCCCTGGCCTGGCCTACCCTCTCGGGTTAGCTGTAGGGGTGAAGAATTGATTTCATGAGCTCAGCCCAGAGGTTGTGGCGTTAACTGATTTAATGTCACCTGCATTGTGTACTCACATTATGTGTTTTTATTCTTTGTTCATGAGTTTTTCTGAGGATTAGTTACAGCTTTTCTGGTGATAGGAGAGGAAGAAGTCATGGAGAAGTGAGATAGGCAAGAGAGGCTTTTATTTAGGTACATTATATTTTTATGTATGTTTATATTTTGTGATCTTAATTTACAGAAGACTGTAACTCAGCCTGGAGCTAAGGCTAACTGTCCATCTCTCAGAGCTGGTGAGGGAAATCTCTGAAGTTTTTCCTAAAGAGAGCTTATCATTTGTTGCTGTTCGGTTATTCCAGTGCACCCTACACTGATTTTTATGTCCTGGGCTTACAGGATTTCTGCTACATATAAATCTGAAAGACCTGTACAAATTCCCAAGAAGTACCCCGACTTGATGCGGCCATGAGCCTATTATTGTATCTTGTGGTGTCTTTGGTACAGTCCGTTCTTGCATGGGGCTAATCAAGTTCACGCTTGAGGCTCAGGCTCCTAGGGAGTTCATCTCAGCTCAAAAATCCACAGACTGGCATGTAAATATCCATGTGTCACTTTTTCACACCACCTCTTGTGAATAATGAGACAAACTATCTCAAGAGCCGTGGCTTTCCTAATGAATTGGAGTCACCTATGTACTGTGTTTGTGACATGCACATTTGCAGTCGGGGTCCACAGGAAGGACACCATTTCCTGGATCCAACCACAGAGTGCAAATATTGTGCCCTAAATAACACACTAGTTACTGTAAATGTCAGTAGAGGGAGTTTTTCCGACTTTGATTTAATGAAAGCCTACAGCAAAGCCAGCTGTTAGCACTTCTTAACTGCTTGTCAGAGGGGCGAGAGGGAGGGGCAAAAACCTCTTTTCTGTGTACTTTAGTCTTAGAATTGAGGTTTCAACAGGTGTTGAATAGCGACACTGGGGGTCCTTTACAGCTTGGTATCTTTTAGGTGGTGAATTTATAAATTTCCCAGCACCGGGATCCTGGAGTTACCGGAGGAGATTCGTGTAAAATTAGTTTGGAGTTTGCATCTCGAATCCCCTCACCTAAGAAATAAGCATTTTCATTGTCTGGGCTCCCATGAGGAATAAGTAAAAGATAAAACTAAAGGAGAGCGAAAGCGTACCAAACTCAGGTCCTGTCTTTGTCACTGAAGGTGTCTCTCCAAACTCACTGTAAGCCATGTGAGTTTTTGTTGTCATCTGCATTTTCTGAAGAAACCACTTGAGGCAAACAGGAAGGAAAGTATGCAGCACTCCTTTTATCATTTTTGCCCTCTCTAGAATGCCTTTAGTAAATGGATGAGATCGTTAAGGGTCTTACCTCCCATGGAAATCCCTTTGACATTATGCTATGTGTACTGAGGGGAGATAATCTTTCCAGAGCAGAGAAAGTTTACAGTCTTATTATCTTGAAGAGGAGAAGAAAGTTTCTTCCTCGAATTATACCTTGAAACATGTTATGTTTTGGTAAGCCCACTTTATTACTTCCATCCTTCTCTGTGGCAATTTTTTTTAAAAATAAATGTACCATTGTACCGTAGTGCTTTCTCAATAGCATATTGTACTTGTAATATAGCATGATGGAAGTTGCTGGGCTCAGTCTAGTCCTATAGAATGCAGAGCCAAGTTCTGAGTAAAACCTCTAATTGAATTACCTGCAAAGCACTGACAGACAGGCTTTCAGGACAGACAAAGCTTTGCTTTCCCCAGCAAAAATAGGTCATGTTTAAGTTGGCCTTGTAACTATTTGTTACTGGTTTTTGCCAGCACTTTCACCTTGGGCCCCTTTTCCTGCAGGAGACGGGGAGTGGGTTTCTGACTGCCAGCCGGAGGGCTCAAGCATTATCTTCTTATTTTCGAGAAAATTGATAACAGATCAAGTTAAATGGAAGAGCCTTTGAAATAAAAATCCCAAGTATTTTTCTGTAGATTATACCAACATTCTTGCATGAATCTTTACTGAAAAGAAAAGCCAGGGACAGGAAAGTAGCCCTTTATAGCAGTCTTTATCAATCTGAAAAGTGTTTTTAACTTCTGGGAAAAATTAGAGTATGCTCCTGTTCTTCATGAGAGAATGTCTTGTAGAGCATTTGCATTTGAAAATGAAGAATAATCAGTTGTTGCTCTCTCCTTTCTTTCTCTTTTTGTCTCATCCACAGCCTCTGCAATCCCAGATAATGGCAGAAGGTCCTGTCTAAAGCTCAAAGTCTTTGTGAGACCAACAAGTAAGTTGACTAGAATGAGCTTCAGAGGGTGGCTTCACCGCGCATGCTTTATCGTGTGGTCTGGTTCACCGCGGTACAACTTTTTTTACTGTTAAATCCTGTGTGGTACCTGTTTTGTATATCAGCATCCATGTTTTAGTTTTCATCATATTTTTTCTCATCATTCTTCATGATGCTTTTATTTTGAAGTACACAGCAGTTGCTAACTTGTTGTTTCTTAGACTGTTGTACGTGCACAGCAAATGGGAACAATATTGGCATTTGGATACATGCCATTGATTGTAAAACAATCTACATAAATTAAAGGAGACAATAGAGAGAAAGAAAAAAAAGAAATGGGAGTTTAAGGGTGTCTTCACTAACATATTTGGCTGTTATCTCTATTTTTGTTATAGATAGCTGTATGAAAACTATAGGTGTTCATGATCGTGTTTTCGATGTTAACGACAAAGTAGAAAATTCATTAGAACCAGCAGGTTAGTATGCTTAGAGACTCCTCTTTTAACAAATGCATCTCTCTCTGGTGCTTCCGTACTTTTTTTCCTTTCTTCTCAGCATGTTTGCATGTTATAGTTGCTCTGCTTTTGCTCATTGCTAGCGATGTTAATATTACTTATATTCTACCTCATTCCTCCAGTATCTTTGTCTAATGCATGTTAGATAAAATATGACCTTTCTTTTTTGGACATGGGTTTGATATAATGCATTATCCTAATATAGAAGCCCCATCAGAATGCTAAAATCTCACTACTTTTTACCATATCCTCTGAGCATGCTGGTGAATCACTGTGAATATTAATGGCTCTGTTTTCATAGAAGACAGAAAAAAAATTCTATTGTATATGTTTTAAAAATTTTTTTATATTATGTCCAGATCTACAGATAAAAGTAATTAAGACTATTGCACAAAATAGCAGCTAACTCAACGTATTTTTCTCTGGCAATTCACATGCATCATTGAACTGATCTAAAGACCTTTATTACATCTCAGATATTATTTGTGCTATTGATATCAATAGCAGTTGGTCTGGAGAAGTATAATCATGTTACCTAACACCACAAATTCACACACTCGTTACTCGCACAAATGAATCAGCAGTCTGTCCAACCAAATGTTATCCTTGACTGCTGAGGCAAAATAAGTATTAAGGAGAATTTTTTTTTTTCTACTGCTACGTTCCACACACCCAAACTTTCCTGTCACTGAAGAAACCTAAAACCCACACAAGCACTCATTGAAACATTTACACTGTAGTGTACTATGGGTGAAGTGGCCCTATACTATCCATTTGGTTAGAATTTCAACTAGACACTAGGATAGGAGCTCTCTATCTACTGTGCACTGAGGACCGTGCCTTGATGCCCCTGTATACCTACCTTCCTGTGGTTTCCTCTCTTTGCCCTACCTGCTTGAGATCTTGACTGGTTTCCTTACCCAACTCCCGCATCCATCTCAAAGTTTAGTGGAATTAAAATGATTTCTTCTTCACAGAAAGATGTGAGCCCCACCCCCCAACACCTTATGTGAACAGATTTTTTTTTTTTTTCATCTCTTTGTAGCAGCGCTTCTCTTTTTTATGGCCCTAGAAATTAAAGGGTTGTGAAGTCCACTTTAACTTTTGAGTATTGTTAGCTAGGACACAACCAGGGAGCCTTAGGGAAACTTACCCCGAGTAAATGTGGTGCCTCAGGACATAACACTAGCTTTCACATTGTAACTGACAGAAAGAGTTAGGTTTTTTTCCCCAAGCATTCTTGTTTTTCTAAGGCAGGCACCTTACCCCAGCACAAATGGGAGGTGTGTACCGTAAAGCTCTGAGAGGCCTTCCTGACTCCCCAGGGATCAGTTAGCTGCTTTACAAAGTTGCAAGGAGTGAGTGCTGAGATGGAGATATTTTGAGTCCTGGAAATCTGGAAGCATTACTGGGGCTTTTCAAAGTACCAGACTCCTTCCAAAGCTTGAAGACTTGGTCCATCTTAGGATCTTTGAGTTAGATGAGCTCTCTTCTAAGGACCACAGAGTCTACACTTGCCCCTTGATAATTGAGACTTGCCCAGGCCTCATCACTAGTAAGAGACTGATCCAGGTTTAATATTCAAATTTCTTGACTCCCATTCCAACATGAGTAGAAAAGGAGGATTCTCTTACCATTAGTAGACACGTAGATCTTCGTAAAGAGAACTTTACTCTATTGGAAATGCTAATAAGTCATGTGTAGAATGACGGACAGAGTTAGGCGTGTTGTAAACTATATCCTGAATACCCTGAATTACGATTTTTTGATGCAGGCTGTGGTAGAATGTAGGCGTATCTTTCCAATAATCTTTTTTCCAGGTAAATTCCATTGCCTATCAAGAAAGCAAGAGGCTGTTTAGAAGCAACAGATTGCATGTTTTTCTTGGTCATCAAGAGCTACACTGAGGACTATTCTGACCCTAGGAATAATTTTCCTTTGAATTCAACTAATGATAAAATGCAAGATATTAAGATGCATTCATACGTGAGCATATGTCACTGTCTTTGGGAAATAGGCTCTTTTTCCCTGAGCATTTAAAATCCTTGATGGCTCCCAAACCTATGCCCATAGAACTGATGGAAGTTTGCAGAAGTCTGCTAGAATGTGGTGTGTGTGGGGTGGGGGGGGGAGTGGAAATGCAGGTGCACAGGCAGGAAAAGCTCCTCCAGTCAGTCAAGACTGGATTTAAGGGCTTTCTTGTGAGCATCTTCGCTAAAAAAGTAACACGAGGTTGAGCTACCATCCCTGGCTGTAGGAATGCAATAATAAATTCGAGTACTTTGTCCTATTCCTCACAAAATTCAGTCAGACGTGTGGCTTTACACCCACCGCTGTGGTGGACGGTGGAGTATAGACCTAGACTTTAAAAATCCGGAAAGCCTGAAAGGATTCCACTGCATGTTCTCGGCAATGTGTACTAACTCACCTGTCTTTGGAATGTATTTGTCTTGTTTGCTTGCACACTCTGCCTGCCATTTTCCTATCATCAGGGATACAGGATGATCTCAGGGCAGACATATGCCACAGAATATGCTCCAGAATATTGCTAGTGTTCTCTCAATTAACCATTGAAACCCTCAGACTGTGGAATCCTGGAGGCAGGAGGCAAGACTTGACTTGGTTTCTGAGGAGGAATATTTTCTTCCTTCAAGCCACATTTACCATCATGAGTCTTAAGAACTCTGATGGTTAGATATAATTTCCAGTGGGCGAGATTTTGCTTATGAATTCTTCCTTAGGATTCTGAAATTGCTCAGATTTACCCAAATGACAGCTAGTTTCTCATTTTGCTTCTCAGGGGCTGTAGAATCTTCCAACATTGAGGCCCTGTTAGAATCGAAGGATGCTTTGTAGAATCCCGAGCTAGGACCAGCATGTTATACAGAGAGCAAGAAGAACTGTGAGGCCCTAGCGGGACAGATTTCCCCCTTTGAGGGTAAAATGACACTTACTGGCTGGTTGCTTAGAAGAGGGTTACTCTCAAAAATCATCCATAATTAGAAGGCTGAAAAGTACACGTAACCTCATGCTTCACTTGTATGAAAAACAAAAGCTTTCCTCCTCTCTGTGTCCCGCAAGGTCATTCACCCTGTCTTGTGCTGCCTGGAGCAATGGTTAGCCCTTGCTGAGCATCCTGGAAGGACAGGGAGGGCATCTCTCCCTCCAGTTCACACTGAGTACCTACTTAGGACCGGAATAACTTTTATCAGTACACATCCAGACTTTACAAGGAAGAGTACTGGGTAATTTGGTAGTAAAAATAAGATGGAGGAGAAGAACCCAAGAGCTGATGTAATTTCAGGTGTATAAATATAAATGATATTTCAAAATGAAATCTGGAAGCCTCAGGGTTTATGGTTTTTACAAATTAAACCCGAAGCACTCTATTATTCTGATTGACAACATATTGATGCTCTTAAGGTGATCTGGATTTTAATTTCAGGGCTATTCAGGACATTTATGTGTAATTCCTGTTACCTCCAGATCGAATACATTTGCCAGGCTGAAGAAGAGCAGAGAGAAGCGACCACAAGTAGTTGGCACCATGGGGGGTGGGGGGCTTTATGGTTTTTCCTCTGCATCCCTTTAACTTTGCATTCTTGCTCCCTAACCTTCTCTCTAGTCTGTTAAGCCAGTCGCCACCCCACACAGGTTTGCTCAGGTCCAGGCGACGGGAGCAAATCAGACACAGGAATGCAGCAGCTTCTACAGGAGGACAAGCGAAGAGCATTCCAGGGCAGAAGCCTTAACACAGAGCAGAGGGATTGCTCAGCTCATACTGGGGAGGGATGTGACGAACAGAGATAGCCTACCTGCGCATATTCAAAGCAGGGGCCAGCCTGTGTGCCTACAAAGTGGCCACTTTCGGACAAAGGATAGGGAGTGTGACAATACGTAGTGAAAAAGAAAGCATCCTTATTGTGACGTGTGGTGTGAAGACATAAATGAGTTTGAACTCAACAGTCCTTTAAGGGGCTCGAAGTGGGCCATGCAGGAATACTTAGGGATTATCCTTTGAGGTCTACAAGACGGGGAAACCTCACGAGGGTCTCACTTGTCTCCACTGTCTGATTGACCGGTGAGTGAATATAAGGTGACAGTCTCCTGAGTCTTTACAGGAAGGTCCCCTGATGCTGAAATAAAAATCTACCACTGAGCCCCACCCTCGGCCCCAGGAACATGTGGTCCAGAGAACATGTAGTCTGAAAGCACAAGTTAAGCCAGGAGGAAGGAAGAAGACAGGCAACACTGGAGCAAAGCATGGCTCATAGGCAAGCCCCCCATCTACCTTTGGGTACTAATTGCTGCAGAGTTCCTGTTTCAAAGTTAAGCCTGTTAATCATGCAGATCAGGAAGGCTATCCAAAGTCAGAGGCAGCCTGGCAGAACACTTTTTAGCTAAATAAAAGAAGCTTACCTCCCTTAATCCATTTTATTTAGAGGAAAATTTGCATCCACGCCGATAATTGATGTGCCAAGCTTCAGCCTGATAAAAAAAATAGTCAAGTTCAAGTAATTTAATCCTGGAGATACAGGGTTTGTAATGGAAATAGCACCATCACTGATTCCCATTTGTAGGCAAACTAGTGGGCACCACTTACTGAGGTCTAGTGGGCATTACATATAGTTAATTGAAAATGCCGTTCTGGCAAAAATAAATAAATAAAATGCGGTTTTGGCCTTTAATTTTTCTTAGTTGAAAATTCATGTAGATAACCAACCACCAAACATTCAGCACTAATCCCGTGAAACAGGTGCAAAGAGGAAAAGGGGCAGCCCCATTCTGATCAACCACTAACATGCCAATGTAACTACACACACACACAAACACACACACACACACCCCCACCAACATGTCACTTGCTTCTCCATGGCATCTTGGGTTGAAAAGGGACCTTCGGACATCTCGGCTTTATGCAAGGTGTGTTTGCTAGCAAACCAAAGTCGTAAACACATACCAAAGGTTACAGTCTGTGTACAATTTTTCCCCTCAGTTTTTAAGGAATGTAATAATATTGCTGAAAAGGTCCAATTTTCTCTGCTTCTCCTTTGTTTGCTGTAAATAATGAGTGATTATGCAGACATGAAAGTCAATGGTGGCACAAGGTTCATTACCCTACTTTGCAGAGGGTGGCAAGGTCTGTTAACAGCAGGCTGCTGTGAGAGTTATTAAGGATGTGAAATCTCATTGGAATGTGTGCTTTCTATTTGAACAGATGACACCGTACATGAGTCAGCCGAGCCATCCCGCGGTGAGAACGCGGCACAAACACCAAGGATACCCAGCCGCCTTTTGGCAATCCTACTGTTCCTCCTGGCGATGCTTTTGACGTTATAGCACAGTCTCCTCCCGTCACCTGTCACAGAAAGCATCAGGGTCTTGGAACACCAGAGATCCACCTAACTGCTCATCCTAAGAAGGGACTTGTTATTGGTTTTTTGGCAGATGTCAGATTTTTTGTTTTCTTTCTTTCAGCCTGAATTCTAAGCAACAACTTGGGGCCAAGAGGGGCTAAAGTAGTTGCTGCTCCCCTGCCCTATTCCCCCGCCCCCAGCCCTTGCCTTCTCTCATCCCTTCCAAATTAAATGGACTCCAGATGAAAATGCCCAATTGTCATAGTGACACCAGTGGTCGTCAGCGCCTGTGCATTCTCCTCTAAGAGCCCACCTCCGTTAGCATACTGTGACAGCAGTCTATGGACAAGGAAGAACGGTGGCAGATGCAGCTAGTGATGGCAAGGCCCAGCGGGGTTTTCCTCTCCCATACAATATTTATGCCTTCTCATTCAGGACTGTAAGATGATCGTGTAGGGCATCATGTCACCATGTCAAGTCCAGAGGGGAGGTAGTAAGGATAGATATAATATTACACCCTTTCCTCTAGGAGTACATAAATCAACAGGCTTCCAAAAGGTTGAGACACTGGTTTTTTTTGTTTGTTTTTTGGGGGTTTTTTTTTTTTTTTTTTTTGCTTTTGTTTTTTGGAGTTATTTTTTACGATGACTGTCTTAAAGCACTCTTGACAGCAAAACTTGTGCTCCATGAAAGAAGCCTTTTTTTCTAGAAAGCAGGTCGGGTGCAGGAATGCTAGCTAGCACAGAGCAAGGCTGAAAACAGAGAAAACTAGGTTTGGTGGGGGTGTGTACGTGTGAGTGCCTCTAATTTTTTTGGTGACTGGGCAATGCACACCAGATTTTTTTTTTCCCTTGGAATACAGATCACCATGGTGCTACAATAATTTTTTTTTAAAAGAAACTCAAAGAGGCATTTTTATGAATAAAGTGACCTTCCCCAAGGCTGACAAGCCAGGGTTGATGAGTGTATAATGGAATAGCTCTGGATGCTCCTCTGGGGGACAATATGTACCAAGGAAAGGAGGTCAGTGGCCAGAGGAGATGTGATTTGGCTTTGCTGGAGCGCCGGTGTGCTGTGGCCTTTCCCCGACTCCCACCCTAGTACCCACGTTTTGCTCCACACTCCACAACTACAGGGGCTCGGACACACACCCCTGTCACCAGGAGAGTCAGTCAGCACTACTTGGGAGGGCTAAAGGGAAATTTGGAATAAAAATTCCAAAGTTTGGAATAAAAAATTCAAGTGTTGATTTTATATTCTTTCCCTTTCTGACACAGCCTGAAGCGTAGGGGGAACATGTGTTTATCTGTGGGAGATAAACAAGATGGAGTCCCAAAGACTTTAACAAAATATTTTTTTAAAAATCCGCTAGAATAGAAAATACATTATTTAGATATACTTTATGCTGAGAGTGAGTATATATGCTTGTCCTATTTAAACTTGTGAGAAAAAAAGTGGTATCCCTTGATACATTTAGAAATATAGGGGGCTATCTTGTTTCATTGTGGGGGTGGGGCAGAAGGAGAATAAACGCAAGACGACCCTGTTTGAGGAACCTTAGCATGGCCACCAAGGGCCATTTCCAGTTGACTACCAGGAAATACAAGCCTTGGGGGTTGCTACTGGGGAGGCTGTCACCTACTTGGAACTCCAAAAGCCTAGACAGGGAAAAGTATCAGACCAATGGAAAAGAAATCTAGCCTTTTTATATTGCGCGACGTGTCAGTAGGAACCATGCCTTTCCAGAACAGAGCAAAAAATAAATGCAAATGATCATGTAACATATGGAAAATTGGAAGCATTCCAGCAAAATAAGGCTTTTTAAAAATAGGTATATTTGTTTTTTTAAAATGTCTATATGAAAAAAAGAGAGGGGTCATATTATGGACAGACTTCATGAATGGGAATTTGCTACGAATTGTGAGTAGTTCTGAATTAGAAAAATGTGTGAATGAAAGGCAGCTGTAAAGGCACTTGCACCCTGGAGAGTTGTACACATGTTGGCATGTAATCTGGGCTTACCTGATCCACTTGGAGTGGACGTCACTGCTGGGTCTCTTTGCACTTGGAGCCCCGGGGGCGGGGTTGCCAGCCTCACAGACACAACCAGCGCTGCTTCCCCAGACGTCAGGGACTCCTCTGGAGTGACCGAGTCTTGTCACAGAAGGCAGCCACCATTTCACTGGAACAGAAGTTCACAGCATTGGATTCTTTTTTCCTTTAACTCTTTATGTGCTCAGTACTCTCAGTAATATCCAGTAATACTTCTTTTTATTAATAGTTACAGGCTTGTTGGCCCAGTGGGATTTGAGTGGGGGTGGGGGGAGGACACCTGCTAAAATGGATCAATAGTCAGAACCAAAATAATACTGCATGTTCTATAACCACGAGGAAATCAAATGATCCTGTAAAGATTCCCGTTAGTCATAACTACATTAGCAGTGCTAATTTCATTTTAGAAATGGTGACTTCTGTGGTTTTGCTAGCATTCGTCTCTAACAAATGATAAAATAATTACTCATGGCCCTCTCTGCCACTGTCTTTCATTTTTCACAGTGAAATTAGACCCCTTTACTTCATTATGCCACTACAAATTAAGTTTGGGGGAAAAAAAAAAAGGCAAGACTATCCACACCAGTAGACAGTGTGCTTCTCTACCGTTAAGTGATGGAATTGTAGGTAATGCTTGCCACGGAGTTTCCAAGACAATGATTGGTATCAGAGAGTTTTCATCTTGTCCAGAAAGTGCTGGTGGCCTTTTATGGTGGTGTTACAACCCTCCAGGGGCTTAGGAGGATGTCGATGCAATTTTGTAGCAGCTTTTAATTAAAAAAAGAAAACTCAAAGTCTGACGGGCAGCCTTAGCTGCCTCTCAGCCCCAGTAAGTCAAACCCCGGCGACCTTTGCCCCTGGTTGCCAAGGGCTTTGCAACATGAAGCAGGGAAATAAGGATCTGTCTGTTTAGTGGATACCGTGTATCCTTTAATAGACCAGGTAACAGTTCGTGTTAGTTTAGACTATTGTTTTGTACTGTACTTTCTTGGGTGGCAGAGGAAAGAAAAGTAAAACGTTAAAAAGAAAAAAAAAATGCGTTCTTTAAATTCTGTATTATTAGCGACCTCTGTTGTATATAGTGTTTGATAATAAAGTATTAATTTGATTCTTATGTCTTTTGTAAGTGAGAACAATAGTCTTTCAGGATACAAAACATGCATTGAGGCTTTGAAACATCCACTGTATACGTAGCTGAGACGAGTCACAAATGGCTAAGACACTGCTTCATACAGGACTCACGTGTGGTCATCGCCCTCCCAGTCTTAAGACTCCACCATCTTGGGACCTGGAACAACATGACTTTTTTGATCCATATTTTATCCTCAATGTTTTCAAGGTCTGATGTTGGAGCCCTGTGGTGTTTTTTCTCCCCCTGGCATGTTGGTTTAAAAAGGTTTAGGGAATTTGATAACAGAGTTCTGTACTTCGGTTTGGTTTTTCTGTTTGTGGTGGTTTTCATAGACAGTTTCATTTTTTCCTCAGGAAGAATTGCCAGTATCACACGCGGCCCAAGCATGGGAAAGGTTTCAAGCCAGTCCATTTAGGAAGGTTAAATGGGGGCTGTTTCCCTCTGCCATTGTGAAAGGAAGAGTCGTACAGTACCTGTGGATTTTCAGGGACTTTGTTTTTCTCTGGTGCCTTAGTAACGGCAGCAGCCATTTTTAGTAGTTTACCCAAAATTAATTAAACCATTTAAACTCCCCTCCATTCATTGCTCTCAGAGCTGTGGTCAGTCGTTTTTCTTTTGAAAACCACCTCCACCAACACCCCCGTTTGCCTACCACCACCCCCCTTTGATTTCTTACGTTTATTTTATTTTTTTGTCTTGCCTTCCTCCCACGTTTTATTTTCCTTCAGAACCGTGAATGGGCAGGTCTGTCTCTGGTTTGGCATCACTGAGTTCTTCCCATGCATTTGCCCAAGAGCTGCTCGGATGTGAGACAAATCTCCCTACGATGGGCTTGCTCCCATTGTCTGTACAGTTTAATAGATGCTGGCATGTTGGAGGTTACCCATAAGTCAAAATCCGCTTTCCATGCTTACTCTTGACACCCCATTGAAGCCACTCATTGTGTGTGCGTCTGGGTGTGAAGTCCAGCTCCCTGTGGTCCTGTGCTTGTACTGCCCTGCTTTGCAGTTCCTTTGCACTTACTCATCGAGTGCTGTTTTGAAATGCTGACTTATATAAACGTAAAAAAAAAAAATGTAAAAAAAAAAGAACCCACACACAAACCAACCCATACAATCTGTATTTGTATATACACGTGTCCGTACAAGTATACCTAAATAAAAATTAAAGATTTTCATCATTTTAATTGGAGCCCTCCTTCTACTTCTTTGTTCCTTGAATGACGCCTTTATTTCAGGGGCTACTTATACTCTGCTGATTTTTCCAAATCTTTGTGGATAGAGAATACGTTACGTACAAGAGAAGGCCTGAGACAAACTCAAAGAATGCAGGGTTAGAAAATGGCCCAGTATCTAGGCACATTCCAGTTATTCTGATGAGAAAATGGTGAAATTCAAGGCTTGTCTTTGTATTTGAGCCTTAAAATAGGCACTATGGCAAGCCCTGCATCCTAAAACTGCTTAAATTCAAGAGTTACGTTCAAAATTATGTTCTTTCCCTCTGTAGTTTTTCACCCCATCAAGACAAAGACAAAATAAGCATTTTTCCAACAAACATCCCATACTTCAGAGAGAAATAATGACAGTAATAGTAATCACTTCAGTACAACACTGAAGGTTAGTGCTAGCAAGGAAAACTTAACTTACCAGTGTGTAACCTTGGGCAAGTCACACAGTATCTTTGGGACTCCATTTCCCTATCACTAAATAGTAAGAGTTATGTAAGTGATTTGGTTGTCTGAATATTGCCCTTGCTGGACACCACAAAGCCCATTTGGCATCTCAGTCATGTGAGTTTTTGTCTTTGATGATGACATTACTATAAGCACAATTTGAAAATCTCATTTGTAGAGGGGAAAGCATCAGATATCTGATATAATAGACACCTAATGCATTTCAAGACGTGGCTTTAATTATACCATGTTAACATTAAACTCACTGAAAGCTTTTTATTATACTTAATTATTTGACAGGACACTAAACACTAATTATAA